TCGTCGGGTAAGTTCAACTCCTCCAAACTCCAGCTTTCCGAACACAACGCTGATGGTACGACCTACAGCTACCTCCTTATGCAAATCCCCTCCAACATGCTCATGTCCTCGAAACACGTCCGGCCATCCATCTACATGGCAATCTGCATGATGGCATGGGCTCTCGTTTCGGGCTGCACCGCCCTCGCAAAGAACTACACCCACCTTGTCATCGTCCGCTTCTTCCTCGGCGTGACCGAAGCCCCCTTCTACCCAGGCGCCATCTACATGCTCTCCATCTTCTACACCCGCAAGGAAATCGCCACCCGTCTGTCTATCCTTTACTCGGGAAACATCTTTGCCACGTCCTTCTCGGGCCTCATCGCCGCAGCCGTCTTCAACACTATCGACGGCAACCACGGGTTGAAGGGATGGCAGTGGCTGTTCATCATCGAGGCGTGCTTGACCTTTGGCGTCGCCGTCATTGGCATGTTTACACTCGCTGACAGCCCTCTTACGACCCGCTGGCTGAAGCCCGAGGAGCGTCAACTCGCTCACGATCGTATGCTCAGGGATACCGTCGGCGTTGAAGAGAGCAAGGGTGCCAAGGCAGGCTTCATGCAAGCCATTCGCGACCCTCGTCTCTGGCTCCTCTGCTTCATCCAAAACATGCATCTCGTGAGTCCAATTCTGATCCTCCACCGAATGTTCATATTCTGACAATGATCCTAGTCTGCATGCGGCTTCAACAACTTCTTCCCAACCGTCGTCGGTTCCCTCGGCTTCAACGACACCATCACCCTCGTCCTCACCTGCCCGCCGTACCTCATCTCCGGCATCTTTGGCTACCTCGTTGGCATCTCCTCTGGTAAATACAACGAACGTACCTGGCACATCACCGCGTGTATGGGCATAGCCATTGTCGGTTTCGTCATCTCGTGCGCGACTCTCAATACGGCGGCGCGGTACATTGCCTGCTTCCTTTTCGCGTCTGGAGCGTATGCTGTCAACTCGTGCATCCTGGGCTGGGTTTCGGCGACGCTGGGATCTACGCAGGAGAAGAAGGCTGTTAGTCTGTCTATTGTAAACGTTATCGCTAATGCGTCGTACATATACACTGCTTACTTGGTACGTAAATCTCTCGCGTCACTTTTTGCTAGGGTTGGAGCTAACGATAATCTTGCAGTACCCCAAGAGCGATGGACCTCGGTACCTCACGGCTATGTCAAGCAACGCCGCTTTTGCATTTGCTTGTATTGCTGGTACGTGGGCGTTGCGGTTCTGGTTGGTTTCTACGAACAAGAAGATGGGCGCGAGCGGTACCAAGTATGCCTACTGAAGGCCGGAAGAAAGCATTCGGTCACGCTGGAGAGAGGTTGCACCACTACACCGCTTCGAATATAATTATGTTGAGGGGTTGTATTGAATATATAATTTTCATATGAGGATGAGAGATGTCGCAGCTACACATGCTGTGTTGGCTATACCCATGCTTCGTGTCAAAACCTTGATTGTCAACATGCACTACTTCTCAAGTTGATCAACAAGTCGGCCCCGCTTGTCTCGTGAGCGTTGCATCCTGTGGGACCACGACCCGAACTGGCGGGTTGTCGGTGATCGTCAGTTCCAGTCTGTCGGTATCTTTTCCCAGAGCTAATAGTGGTGAGCCAGATCGCTGGGCCGGAGATCTCATCCTCAATAAAGGGTAGGCCCAACGTAGATCTTGGTTTCTGTTTGGTCCAACTCTTTGGAAGATCCATAGGCTCACTTGCAATGATACCAATTACTAATCTGCATTCATATTGCGACCCGTGGAGTTGAAAACCAGTGGCCTTGCGCGGTTTCCGAAACAGCATGCAAAAAATTCAAGACTTATTGGAAACGGCGCTATTTCGCATGTGGAGTTGCAGAGACAAACTGCCTGCCTCTATTTACTAGGAACATGGGTATCAAAGATCAAAGAAGTATCGATACTCCAGCTTCTCCTCCGTAGTAGTCATATACGCAACCTCGGCCTCCATCAGAGTTCTCTCTGTATTCCTCATTAAGCATTACCGCAAATACGACCACGTAGGATCTACAGACGGATCGAACTGCGCCGCCGCCAGAAATGGATAATCAATCGCCCCAAAAGAGTTGGCAAACAACTGATCATACCAAACCATAGACTCCTGCCCCTCGCCAGGCGCATTCTCCGAAGCCCCCATCGCAGGGAACGACGTAGCCGCGCCCAGCGATAGAGAAAACGGCTGGCTGTCAAAGTTGGGAGAATCCTGCTGCGCAGTCCCCTGGAACCCAGACTGCGCCCCCGGCGTGCTCGCCGTCCACCCCGCGTTGACGGACGGTCCCGATGCCGGTGAGGCCTGCGTGGGCCATCGACCGGACTGGTCATCTGCCGGTCCTGAAAGTCCGTCGCTTTGGTTCCGTGGCCAGATTGTATTTTCTGGCGCGACGAGGCCCGGCTCGTCTGGCCGGCCCGAGGACGCGGCGACAGAAGGGGAGAAGCGGGCTCGTAGGCTGGGTCTGGTTGGCTGCTGTGTGGTTGTGGAGTCGGAGCGTAGGCCTCTGGTTCTGCTTGAGCTGCTGTTCGGTCGAGCCTGTTGACCGAGGTCTGTTCGAAGATGGGTGTTGGGTGCTAGGTTGCTGGTGCTTGGTTGTCGTCTGAGCGGGTTGCCCGGGACGGATAGTTCTCTTACAGCTGCGGTGAGCTCGTCGACTGCGGAGAGGCAGTATTCGGGCCATGATGTGTCGCGAGAGGCAATGTGGCGCAGAATTTCTTTGCCTGATTCAACGTGTCTGCAAAAGTCAGTTTACTTAGCCCTCAAGATTGCTTTCATAGTGAGAAAGTTGAGTGGTATGCTTACTTTAGCGCACTGGCCAAAGGCAATTGCCGTTCAAAACCAGCGTAAATCAGGATGAATGCGCTGATCCATACAGCCCATGTGAACGACGGCTGAAGCAACGGTTCAAGCAAACACGTGCTCGTAGGATCGCCAGGAATCTTACTCTGACTATGATGCCTCTTCAAAGCAATGAATATGGACTTGGCAGCAAAGATGCAGTTTTGTAGACCAGCAGAGTACGCCGGGCTCGACGGGTCGGACGTCATCATCGGGCGATTGAGAGAGATCATGGACTCATACTTTAGCAGAAGCAAGAAAATTCGGTGTCCCGCGGATATTGGTGGCTGTGGCGTGGCTTCATCCTGGGTGTGCTCGTCTTCGACCGCGTCGTGGATCTCGTTTGACCATTTTGCGAGCTCTGCTTGGACGTAACTAGATCGGTCTGCGGTATCGTCGCGTGAGTGTATTGATTTATTCCGCAGCTCCAAGATTAGCCCCCGTATCCGTGCGTGCTTGACCAAGTATGTGAGCAGCTGTAGCCTGTTGTCTTCGGCGTCGGCAAGTGTTCCGTGCTTTTCTTCGCCGGGATAGCACACATCGACGTCGTCGTCCCGGATGTCTAGCGGGAGGCCTAGAGCTTGGCATGAGAATCGCTCCGTGCAGTATATGCACCAAAAGACACGTCGGCGCATGTGCGCCTCCTCTTTAGTGAAGAAGGGGTATCTCGAAGGACACCGGTGCAAGCCCAGGTGGAAAGCCATTCTGACGATCAAACCGCCTAGTCTCGATGCCGAGTTCAGTCTCAACATGGAGACGAGAAACAGTTGTATGGCAAGGGCAGCTTGTGTGGCTTGGATCGAAGCTGGTTGGTAGAGGGCGAATTGTGACGCCGACATTGCCTCCTCGACTGTGCGGAAGACGAGGGAGGATGGGACTGGCTGAGAAAAGGGAGCCTTTTGGCGACTGTCAGCTAGAGAGATTGATAGTATCGACTTGACAATCGAGCGCTCGAGATGGCCGAGAGCAGCCACGCCGCCAGCACTAACTTCCTCAAAGAGGTTGAGTACATCTGGGGCACTGAGGAAAGGAAGCGTCGGGTGCCATGCTTCAAAGTAGCTCCTCGACCAGTCGACGAGTTGCTCAAAGGTCGGATTGAAGTCATCGCCTTCGGGTTCTGGTATCAACTCAGAGCTGCGCCAGAGGTTTTGCTCGTCTCCATCACGCGATGAGGTCTCCCGCTGGAGCTGGTCGTCTTCTCCGGGGACGAGGTCGCTAATGTTGTTAGTGGACTGAGATGTCCTGAGGGCGGACTTGCGGGCCAGCCTGACATAAACGCCCCGGATAAAGTGAATGCCGCTGCCTGAGCCAACGAAGCGGGCGGTGTCATGCTTGCCCGTGTCTCGCATCAAGCCATACTCGCGTGTGGGACGGTCTGTTGAGCCCGAGTGTTTTCGCTTGCGTGAGTGGTTGAAGTGTGCCGGGCTGAGGGTTCCCGACTCAGAGGTGGCATTGGGCGACTCTACGGCGTCCATTCGGAGGGGGTGGGATGGCCGTCCTGGTGGTGAGTGAAGATCTGGGGATTGATAGCCCGTCTTCAGTGGACGGTTTGAGGAACGGTGGGGACCCGAAGCATGGTGTGATTGTGGGGAAGAGCAGAGAGAGAAGACCGCCTTGGGAGACAAGACAGTTGTCCGCCGAGGTACAAGGAGAGTGAACCTATGAAGGAACAGAGGAGAGGAGAGAAAATGGAGAGGAAGGCGGTCAACGGACGTTGTTGTGCGGAAGAGAACTTGGCAAAAGTGCCAGAGGTGCCAAGCCTGGGGTAAGATCAGCCAACTATTCGCCTTTGGAACATTGTGCGAGAGCGAGATTTGAGAGAAACGAGACTATGAGGACGAAAAAAAGCATCGTTGTCCGAGAAAGGAAACCAGCGAGAGGCTGACGCGCCCGCGTCGGGGGCGACGTCGGTGAGGGTGGAGCCATGACACGGCACGTTCCGGTGGGTGGGGCACCGGCGGACAAAGAAAACCCCGCAGCGGCCATTATGTTTTGTTCTTGAACACCAGTTTTGCGCCGGCCATGCTCGATGGACTAGGGAGGACGACAACGGCAATAGTGGTTTTCAATACGAAATTTTACTTCGAGTTCAATTTTCCAGAAAGAAGAGGGAATCGCAATATGTCCCGAAATAGCAGCGAGAGAGAAGGCAGCGCTTTGCAGAGTCCCATTGCCTGCGAGAGTTGTCGCCAGAGGAAACGACGGGTTAGTCCGACAATGTGTCTTTAGGCGACTCTGACCACGGCAGTTGACTAACACCGTTCAAGTGTGATAGGAAGTTGTAAGTGGCTCCCCGGCACTCTGAGAGGACCCTTGTCTGGCCATGTCCTGAGGCTGAATATTCTTCCCCGCAGACCATTCTGTCTCCAATGCAGCCACGAGCCTGGACGATGCCAATACCCAGAGCAGAGCAAAAGGTATGCAACCATCTACATACAGTCAGTCAGATAGCCATGATGAATACTAACAACAAGTGATCAGGGGAATTCCTAATGGGTATCTCAACAAACTAGAAACCCGACTCGCCGAGACCGAAGCTGCTCTCTTCCGCGTGCTCTCGGGAGCCCTTGATCATACCCAAGTTTTCGACTCTGCCTCGTCACCGGCCCTCTTACCCCAAGCTGCATGGACACCAAGACAGAACAAGGTCGACCGTGTCAAGGAATGGGATAGTCTCCCGTTGCAGACGCCTGATGACATCCAAGCCTGGTACCGATCCAAGGCTACAGAGCACAATGATCCTGCCATCGACCTTCCTGCCGCGAGTCCGCAGTCGCTCATATCGACGGTATCGGATCCTATGTTTGCGCCCCCCCCTCCGCCGAGAGACCCTAGCTCAGTACCTGGATCAGTGTCAGACCACCAGGGAATTTCTGATGCGGTCATTGAGCCTCAGCTTCGAGCCATGACGCCAATGGTCTCTACTCCTGTGAACAGGACATCGTCTGATAGCCTCAGCAAGGCCAAGGAGTTGTCCAAGTCGCAGCAGAACCTTTACTTCTGAGGCAGATGAGAGTATTGACACCTTTGTTTGTCAGACAATACCGTGGCAAGGCCATTAACTCAACCCAACTCAACTTGGGTAGCATCCAACGTTCGGGACGCGGCGAGAGATAATGCGACATGATTCTCGGGTTACACCAACCTTGTGAATATCAAAGAAGTGTAAAGGCGGAAATGCGTCGCCTACTCGCGGCTTTGAGGGGCAGAAGAATTCCCCCGCCACGGCGCCGAGCTACCCCGCAGCGACCATTCCATTCCGCGGCGGCCCGGTTCCCACACCTACCCGCTCGGCTTGCGGCGGAATTGCGGAATCGCCCAATTCCAAACAGCAATGACCTCACGCTGAGACCCTGAAGCTTCATCTTCTCCAGAACTCTTGAAGAACAGAGAGACATCGTCTTGTTATTGTCTATTGAAGCATTGTTCACTACCAATACCTTGAACGAATACTCTCTCCAAAGAGACAAACAACGCCATCATGTCAAACACGCAATCTTGGGTCTCTGTATCACCCAAAAGCCACTTCTCGCTGGCAAACATCCCCTTCGGCATCATCTCCACAACCTCAGACCAGACTCACCGGCCCGCCATCGCCATTGGCGACCATGCCCTCGACCTCAAGGCCTTTGCAAAGGCCGGCGGCTTCCACGCCCTGCCCTCCATTCAAGACCACGTCTCCGTCTTCTCCTCAACCACACTAAACGACTTCGCCGCCCTAGGCCGCAAAGTCCACAGAGAAGTCCGCACATATCTGCAGTCCGTCCTCGCAGAAAACACCCCGCACGCAGGCCTCCTCAAAGACAACGCCGACCTGCGCAAGACGGCCCTGGTCCCCTTCTCCGAGATCCAGAACCACCTGCCCCTCGCCATTGGCGACTACACCGATTTCTACGCCGGCAAGAACCACGCTTATAACGTCGGCGTGCTCTTCCGCGGCCCGGATAATGCGCTGCAGCCAAACTACGTGCATCTCCCAGTCGCGTACCATGGTCGCGCGAGCAGCGTCGTCGTCTCCGGCACGCCCATTCGCAGACCGTGGGGCCAGATCCTCAAGGACCCCAAGGCCGAGCCCAAGGTGCCGACGCTCGCGCCGTGCCAGAGGCTCGATATTGAGCTGGAGATGGGCATGTTCCTCTGCCGGGAGAACAAGCTTGGTGAGCCGGTACCCGTCGACCAGGCCGAGGAGCACATCTTTGGCTACGTTCTGATGAATGATTGGAGCGCTCGCGACATCCAGGCGTGGGAGTATGTTCCTCTGGGACCCTTTACCTCAAAGAACCTGGGCACGAGTATCAGCCCGTGGGTTGTTCTTGCGGATGCGTTGGACGGAGCCAAGACGGCTGGTATCGAGAACAAGACGGAGTTGCAGCCCTACTTGCGCGAGAGCAAGAAGAACAACGTTCTAGGCGTCGACCTGGAAGTTGACATTATCAGTACGTTCCCATTCTGATCCCATGAACCCTTCCCTGATTGAACATGCTAACGCTAACATGTGTCACTTGTCCAGCTGCGAGCGGAAACAAGACCACAATCAGCCGCACCAACTCAAAGAACCTGCTCTGGTCCTGGCCGCAGATGATTGCCCACCACACAATCACCGGCTGCAACCTGCGACCGGGCGATCTGCTGGGATCTGGCACGATTTCTGGCACAGAGCCCGGCACCGAGGGAAGTATCCTCGAGCAGACGCAGGGGGGCAAGCAGGCCGTGCAATTGACCGGAGGCGAGGAGCGTAAGTTCCTACAGGATGGCGATACCCTCATCATCCGCGGCTGGAGTGGTCAGGAAGGCGCGTTGGTTGGATTTGGTGAGGTTTCGGGCAAGATTGAGGCTGCGCTGAAGCTCTTTTGATCGCGACAATCGTGATCGAGAGATAGAATGAGCATGAAATAATGAAAAGTCCTTCATTTTGTGCATATAGCATGCGAGTTTCATTCCGTGACATATCTGGTCATCTTGGTCACTGATTGATCATGAGATGGGCGAGGCAAATCTAGCTGCAACTGCTTATTAACTTCAGTTGACCTATGATGACAGCTTATTTGGCCCTCAATTCATCAGGAGTATCAGGCTGATTAAAGTAATGCGCTTTCACAACAGCCGGATTCTCCTTCAACCCCTCCACAATCTTCCTCACAGTCGGATACGGGCTCAAATCAACCCCAAACCTCTCGGCATTCCAATACGCAGGCAACAAACACACATCCGCCAACGAAATCTCATCACCAACAGAGCACCTCCCCGCCCACTCCTTCGCAACAGCTTCATACGCCGCAAACCCATCCGCCATCAACTCGCGGTTCCACTGTTCCGCATTTCCGCCCATGGCCCTGATCCGCCTCATGATCCGCATATTCGTCACGGGCTGGATGTCGCAGGCGACAGTGTTGACCAGGCTCCGGACCACAGCGCGCGTCTTTGCATCCTTGGGTAGGAGGGGTGTGGTGGATGGGTGGGTTTCTTCGAGGTACTCGAGGGCGGCGACGGATTGTGTGACTTTGAAGTCTGCGTCAGACCTGTTGACGAGGAGGGGTACGCTAGCGGAGGGGTTGAGGGCGCGGTGGGTGTCGGAGAGGTGTTCGTCTTTGAGGAGGTTGGTTGGGATTGTGGTGTAGGAGATGGATTTGAGGTTCAGGGCGATGCGGAGGCGGGCTGAGCAGGAGGAGCGGAAGTAGGAGTAGAGGATGTAGTCTGGTTCGGACATCTTGGTGGTTGAATAATACGTCAGGTACTGATAGTTGATATCTTGAGATTCACTGCGGAGCTGCAAGGTAGAAGAAGGCCAGGCCAACGACACATGCGGACTCGGGCTCGGTCTTATTTCACTGATCCCATGGCTGATACATCACACACGTGTAAGCATGACAATTCCGCTTGCTTGAGAGATCTGCTCGACACGCGAAGGGCGTGGGAGAACCGCTCCTAGCCTTCCTATGCCGACGAAGATGGGATTGGACGAGGAGGCAAGCTGCAGCCACCCGGGAGGTTCCTGCGGGGAAGAAGGATCCCAGCGGCAAGCCGACTGCGGGGAAGACGTAGGTATTGGCATCGTATAAAAGCTATGGAAATGAGGTCAATGATTGGTCCGTCGCTCTCTCGGGTGTCTGCTCCCCAGGTCGATCGATGAGGGCGGAATTGCGGAATGGGCACGGTTTGTCAGAACAGCACACAGCTGGTTCCGCAAATATCCCCATATGGAGTTCGTTAGTTCAGTACTGCGATTTAATACGAGGATCCTCTAAGCAAGATTTTTTGTTTGATTTGGCGATCGGGGAGTTGGAGGTTTTTCACGGAATTAGAAGAGATGGGGATGCTGGTGTTGGGTAAAGAAATCAGTGAAGGTGGTCAGCCGTAAGGCCCCCAGTGATGCATCATATCGTCTATCTCACGATCCAAAGTAGATACTGGCACTTGAATGATCTCATGTCCTATACGTTTCTTGGATCTATTGGCATCTGGTCTAAACTTCCGCCCCAATGCCTCTTCAAGCTCTTCCACGCAGATCCTGCAGCTCATGGTTCAGTTCTGAGATCTCATCGTACTGCTCTTCAATCTTGTATACCTGCTCCACAATCTGGCTCCCAGTGTCTTCAATGATAAGCAACGTCGCAAGATTGGCGCAGATCGCCGCGACAGCACCAAGCGGAATACTGGACTGAGGATAATACGGATAGACAGGCGCGCTAGCCAACAGAGTGACAAAGGCCAGGGTAACCAAGCAGTTGAAAGTAATGGGCCACTTCGTCTCTATCCCTTTGGGAGGCTTCTTTCCTTCTTTCTTAAACCAACCGAGTGCAGAGAACCATTGCATCAGCTGAGGCTTGACAATGGCATAGAGCCCGCCGAAGCCTAATAGTTGTTGGCTCAGTGTTGAGTGGAAGTTGCTGTCGTACATAGGAACGCCGTCTGGGGCCTCGCATAGGAATGTTGACAGCACTGTGAATGGCAGTGACACCACCACAAGCCAAGTAACGAGAGAAAGGCAGAGAGTGCGCCAGAGCTTGGGCTCCTTCAGGTTCGATCGATTCCTTGATGCCATAGTTTTGCCTCCACTTCTCATCTGAGGGGGTCTCTTTTGCAGCTTCTTTGGGCCGGGCCCTTTTGACTGTCCTGTCCGTGGCCGAAGTTTGTTCATGTCAATCGAAACGACCTCAATAGCCGAAGACATGGAAGGAGTCTTGAATATTCCCGGTTCGGGTACGAGTGAGAGTTTTGCTGTATGCTCAATTAGCCTGGGAGGTCCTAGGTATGTCCAAAGGAAACAACATGAGCTTCGAATATCATGTTCCATCACTTACCTTGCTCCTCTTCTTCCAAGGTCGTAATGACATTCCGGCACTCCTGGACATTGCCATCAAAGAAGTCAAATGTCGCATCGACACTCACGCGCAGCTTCTCCATGACTCCAAGGGAAACTTCTTTTTGGAGACTTTCCATCAAGCTTTGGAGCACCGTCCAGCTCTCTCGCGGCCATTGAAGCGCCGACTCAAACGCTGCAACCCTATCGCGTAGCTCAGAGAGTGTGCCATTTCTCCAGGCCCCAAACACCTTGTTCCAGACCCCTCTGTTGGGATAAGTGAGCAGCGTCTGCCCCTGCAGTAGGCCCAGTGCTTGATTCCCGTTCGGGTATGAGTTATACATCTCGAATTTTGGAAAGTTCTCGTCAACGTCCTTTAAAGTCGTAAGCTCTTTGAGCAGAACATGAAGTCGAACTACAAGCTCAGGGCTGTGTGCTGCGAGGACTACAAAAGCGGAGTTTACCCCTGGCGTAAACCAAGGTTCATTCCAGTGACCCAAGAGCTTCAACGAGGAGAGGGGGTCAACCTCGTACTCCAACTGGTAGTATTGCTGAATAGCTACTTTGGCACTACGCTGCAGAGCCTCCGTGGAGGTTTTGAGGATTTCAGGCTGGTCTAAGTCATCGTAAAGAAAGGGAAAAGATTGGCGATTTGCCTCAACATCGCTTTCATGGGCGCTGGTGCGAAAGCATGATTTGGCGCTATCCCAACCCAGCAGAACCGGGAGAGGATTGACTACCGCCTCGACCATTGTATCAACGTCACAGAGGGGTATCTTGTTGCGCAAGATTGCCGAATGTTTCATTTGTGCCAATTGTTGGGGATTTATATGCCCCTCCAGTTATTTAGGCGAACCATGAGGCATCCCAAGAGTTGTCTGATGGCGCGCCCAGCCGGGAACTTGCATGCGACTAACGGACATAGCGCGACGAGCTGGAAATCTTCGGCCAGTAACATCTCAATCTCGCTCCTAGCGCTGAATTTCATCCAGAGTCTTCAGGCACTCTGCTATCTGTTGGCACAACATGATTCGCATCTATCGCAGGTCGCTGCCAGCCACCGGCGCAAAACGCCTTGCACTATCTTGCACAACAAGACGAGGCGTCTCATGTTGAAGCCTTGATGCTCACAGAATCGTCTGGGTTGCTTGCTAATCAATCAGGGGAATCCGCCTTGGTGGATGACGACATCAAATTGAAAGCTGACTGGAACCTACTTGACCTAGACGGTACATGGCCAGGGAGAAGCGACAACATCTGACTTTTGAACTTTGTCAGTATCACCGCTCTGAATGGTGAACCCAGTTTTATCATAGCGCTTAAGAACAAGCAAGAACAAGAGAGTGAGAAGGTAGTGGTGTTCCGCTGTAAGGCTTTCAATGTAAGCCGAGCCTCAGTAGCTGAAACTGGTGCGTCGGCGAGACTTGCCTCTAAACTTTTCGGGAAGAGGATTAAAGTGCGTGCAGGAATAATTAATGGTGTAAGAAAAGCGGGCTACTCCGGGTCCCGGCATCATTGCACTCAATCTGAGAAACGCGCTAACGATATGCATAGATTAATCTTTGTCTTCCAACCCCACCTAAGGTCATATATCGGACGGAATAATTACAATGTCACTCTCAAAAGGACTTTGGAAACAACGCCCTTCGGAGACATATGGTCCATGCTCCAGGAGACTGCTAGGCGAACCATCCTAGATGTAGTTCCGAATAGAACTTTTCATCTGAATATGTTCGTCCCAACATCATGTGCCAACCCCTGGCCGGCTCTCAGGGGTTCATCGCCTCTCAGGGGACTCAGCTTCGTTCATATAAAGCTGTTAGACTCTATCCTACTACCATTTCTCGTCTACTACATTGCCCAGAGACGAAACAGAATTTACCTTTGAACCTTTCTGGTATTCATTTGAGCTCAATCAGGAACTATGAAGGGCACCAACACAGCTATTGGAGGCGTCCTCGCTATACTTCTGGGTCTAACCCAGGCGAACTCTGACATCGTTTCCCTCTTCACCAATGGCGCAGCCTACATCCAGGAGGCCAGTGCCACTCTCGTTCTTCCCAAGCTACCTAGCTCTGTCTCAGGAGACGTCGCCATATGGAGTGCCATCATGATGGAGAACCAGGCATCCTTCCTGCAAGGCGTAACCTCTAACTCTCCTAGTGGGTAAGAAGAAAGATGGCCTGCCTTTAAGTCTTCTCAAGATAATTGACTAATCGTGTTGCAAAGATCATACTGTAACGACGCAGGAAAGAGTTGGTGCAACTTTGCGTACACCCTAGTCGGTAAGTGACTCGGCCTGCAAGAATCAAGTTGAAACACCCAAAGACCCCGTCTGACATGACAACGCGACAGGCTCAAATCCGACCGTTGGTGACCCTGTCACTGCCTCTCCTGGATCCACAATTAGGACGCACTGTAAGTTAGTCCAGCTGGTTGCTAGGTGATGTGGTGACTGAAGAAATCGGCAGACAAGTTGAACTCGGCAACGAATCTCTGGGACCAAGATGTCTACATTGATAACAAACTCGCTTCCTCCGTCTCAACCAGTGAGTGCATTTTCACTTGCTGTCTATTGTTTGTTGTAACAAAACTGACAGAGTCTTTGAAGGCAAAGGACAGAAAGGAAACATCTTTTATATTTCTATCGAGTGCGCGTCTGGTGGCTGCGCCGAGCACCCTGCGCACAGTAAGTAAATCAAGCCTTCCGCAAGAGGATTGACAACTAACGATGAAATAGGCTGGGAAGATGTCTCTATCGTTCTTACCCAAGCTGATGAAAGCTTTGGGCACACCGGGGGCTGGGATCATGGGGCTACTGGCGGCGACATGTCATCTCCCGACGGCGGCAAGACTTGGAATTTCAGCACTCTCAACATCCCGGCACAGAAGGCTGAGTAGCGGTTCACCATTCAAATTGTAGCTGTCGATGACTTGTTTCTGCGGCTTTGCATATACTTTCAAACGAAAGAACTTGTAAATACATTCAAACATCTGTATATGGACGGCATATGCGCCTAAATTATCCACTCCTAATAGGAATTCAGTCATGCATGACGGCACATTGAGAGAACCAAAGAGCCGAACTCTTTGGGTCACTGAAATTGCAACCTCTTCTCTCATCTCCGATTATCCAAAAGCGCCAGCACTTGAAGTCCATTCTTCCGATTCACCTTGCAAGGTTCTCACTACTTCAGGACTGTGATTCGGATCGGTGCTTGTCCACCATTGACAGATACCAGCTCGTAGCCAAACACATAAAGTCTCCGAGATCCCGGACTGGCCACTGAAGGGAACAAGCAAGAGACCTACTGGCATGCTCCAGTCGTTGGGAGGTGCTTTAATCTCTGCGAGGCCCAGAAGTAAGAGAACTGCGTCTGGGTGCTGTTGACTGAAAGCAATCGCTTCTTTGCGCGCAAGTTCAGGGCCATGGACAGCGGTCCATTGTTCTGGGCCATCCAGGTCAATGTTTCCGCCGGTCCATCCCGCTTTGGTATTCCAAATTTTGATCAGCTTGCTAAATTTGCAGATCTTGCCCCTGAAGTGACCCCAGTCAACCCCTTCGAAAGTGACGGTTGAGAGCTTTGCCTTTACCGACATGGCATCAAAGACTGACTTGCCGTCGCCATAATTTAGACGCCTTGTAGGTTGAGAGTCTTGGGAGATTCTCCATCTCTTCCCAGGCTGGGGAGGAATCTCAAAGATATGCATCTGGCTCATAATAGGTTCCCGGATGAGCAGCTCTCGACCGAGCTCATCCTCCAATTCTGCAAGTGAGAATTCGACGTGCGGGTCACATCCCGGTCTCGATTTTCCCAACTGAAAGCCAAATATCTGCATGATCCCATACACACGATCTGTTGCGCGAGTCGTGGTTCTATGGCGAGCAGCCCCAAGTAAGGTGACTGGGAGACTTGATCGGAGGCCGGTCATACCGCTGCGCTCGATTGAGCGCTTCAATGCTAGCAGGTACTTGTCGTTCGTCTCGATGGTCTGCGGCTTTTTCTCGTGTGAGGTCACAATGGTCATCATGTGGTCGCAGTAGTCGATGAAGTCGCTCAACAACATGGGACGTTCGGCAGGGTTGTCAATCTCAGACGGGCTCATGAGCTCTCCCTGTCTGGAAATAAACACCGTTTGAGGACAGAGATAGGCTTCTTGCAGCGTCCAGAGAGACGAGAACCATGGGTCCAGGCTCAGAAGTTCGATCTCTTGCCTAGTGCCGTCTAAACCGCGTTGAACGCGCTCAATGCCACTCTTTGCCTCAGCTCGTGATGACTTGGCCTGCTGTTGAAGCTTTTCAGTCTGTGACAAGTATCCCTGACGGGAAAGCTTTGTCAACCATGCAAACGTGTGCGTGGCTCCCTTGAAGATTTTTGCTTGACGGCCAACCTCCAAGGCCATTTCTGCCGATCCCCGCGTCTGGTCAATGCAGGCCACGTCCAGCCAGACGTAGTGGATTTGAGGGACCGGTTCGCCAGGATTATCGAAGGCTACTTGTCGTCAGCGACGCGTTCACACAGCGTTAAGGTTTACCCTTTTGTATATTTTGACTTGCCCCTGACCTCCACTGAGAGCTTCAAAGCTGATCTCAACAGATTCTCTATTTCTCCCATCGTAAAATGATCTGGGTCTACTCGTGGCATTTCCCAAGTAACGCCTTTGACTGGGAGTCCTTTCACATCTGGATGTTGTGTCGCACTCTTCAATCGCCATCTACCCCAGGTGTACGAAATAGCGATGTACTTGGGGGCGCGATCGTTTCCGTAATAATTGCCAGGCGCCCACTGCATTGATGTCATCGAAGGTACATGCAGTAGCCGGCGCGGCCAGGCGCAGTCATCGTCGAAATCCGGCATTACGCACGGTGGAGTTGAGGTTGATGCTTGGATGATTTCGGCGCCGTGGCCGTCTTTGGAACTTCTCAGTCTTCATACCCCTCTTTTTGATGCCTATTGATTGCCTTGAATGGGTGCGTGGTGGTCCGCAGTATGCTTGGTCGTGGCGGACACCTGTCATCCCGACTACAGGCTTTGATTGGTAGGGTTCCCTCAGCTGAGGTGCAACTAGCTGCTTCTGGGTACAGCAGATTCTCAATTTGATACTTAGCTTTGTGTCAGTAGAGAAGCTGGGGTCATTGACCTTATCTCCTTTCCTTTGGTGTATCTCATTACGAAGCAGACACTGATGTTGTCAAGCCGAGGCGAAGTATCCAGTGCCTTCTTTAGAGCGCAATGACACACAGTTGGAGGAAATTCCCATGCCACTTTATGCCGACAAATTCAATAAAATGTAAAAAACAGTGAGTTGTTGAGCCGGAAAGTTCTTGATGAGCTCTCTTGGAATGCAATTGTGTACAGATGGATTCACATTCATCTCATTCATAATGATTCTTGACTTCCAGCCCCTTGAACTGGAATGATGTCCCTTCGCGCTTATCAAGCACCTTCTTGTGATGCACATCCTTCACTCTTGCCCGCACGTACTCTGTCCCTGATGGAACTGGCCTGCTCAGGTCTCGGTCTTCCTCTCTGATCAAGCCAAGACGATCCAGGAGGGGTGATGGCAACGTTCTCATCGGCGTGTGGTCCCCAGGTCGACTAAAGTATAGAAGTCCCAGCCGAGGAATATTGATTTGGTCTTTGGGAGGCTTGACTACTCGATGAATCGTTGACTTGATAAATCCTGCTCGGGGTCAGAGTCAATCTCAACGCTGATGGATCAAGAACACCACTTACCGTTTGTGAGGAACGTCAAAGTGTCTGCCGCGTTGCACGTAATACCACCCTCCACGGGCTTCACATACTTCCAGTCCCCTTCTGGTGTCCTGATTTGCAGACCAGCAACATGTTGAGAAAACAGGAGTGTCAAGCTGCCGAAATCTGTATGACCGCCCGTTGAGAAAGCTTGCGCTTTGTCCCATTCCTCTTCAGTCCGGACGTTGTAGATCATGTACCGCAAATGATCATCCGATACTTGATCATAGGCATGCGCATCAGCGAGATAGTTTTCTGGGAGCTCCAAGATAATAGCGATGAGAACGAAGAGCTTTCGTGCAACTTCCCAGACGTCGCGGTGGAAGTCTCGAATCTCATCCCAGTTCTCTTCAACAACCCGATGACGACCGACGCTTTTCCACGCTGGGATGTCCTTGTGGATATTGAGCTGAGTCTTCATTAGACACTACTATCCCAAGACCTTAGTAAGCAACAGACCGGCGCCTTACCATCTCAATGTTCTCCTTCACACCCGTATCACCGAGCCATCTCTCGTTCTCCCTGTATCCAAAGTACTCGCCTTCCGCAAAGTTGCATGGATAAGTCCGCTTTTCTTCGAGTGGCTCTCTGAAGAACGTGTTTCCAATGCTGAATTGACGCAGGACTCGCTCATCGTCGATGCCGGTGCCAGTGACAACCCAGAACCCAACTCGCGAGATGGCATCGTAGAGTTGTTTCGCTAGTTCCTGCTTGCCACCTGGCTCATCGAAACGTGAGAGATCAATAGTGGTGAGAGGCGCCCAGTCTAGATCTTCTCTTGTTGGTTGCGGCCGGGACCAGGGCTTGACCAGCAGCTTATCGGTATTAGAGGGTGGTGGTGATACTGCAGAGGGAGCCATGGTGTGTATTGCCGGTTTAAACGGAACAATGCGAGATGAATAATTGGGATGCTGCTGTTTGGACTCAATTAAATCTTCTCTCAGCACCTCATAGAAGTCCGCCGCAGGATTCCATGCTTGATGGCTTACTGACACCCACGCGGGGTCGACACATGATCGGCCATGGCGTGCTCGGGAACCCCAACAACGTGCTCGTCGTCATCAGCCAACGATCTTACCAGACACTCCTGAATACTACCCCAGATTATCATCTGCCAGGCAAGTTCGATCAAGACGTGCTTGAATGATATAAAAAGACGGGGTAATGTTACCCGGAAATCGGGCATAGTCCGAGAGATGTTGTTGCCGCAGTTATCATCCAGGATCAATGAAGAATGACAGGCCTTCAATCTTCAACTAGGATTGGATGAAGACACATATCGCCATCTTGGTTATCATGTCGTGATGAGTGCAAAGTTGAAACGCCAGGGTAGATATCCGGCATCGGTCATTGATGGTTCGTGAACCTTCGCTCTTAGAACTAAGATTGAAACATAAGCGAAAGATTACTGCTACTGGTTAGCTGTAGAGATTTCAGCTTCGCATTGAGTCGTGTCAATTGATATTCTGGTTCTTTTCGGTGCTTCGCGACGACGTCTAAAATGACCACCTCAAGAGAGCCTATCAAGACATTTGCCTACGTTGCCGATCACGTACAGACCTTTCCCGAAAAGACGACTAAGACAGAGAGCATAGATGTCTCCGATCCAGAAACCGAAGAAAGCAATACTCGGCCCGAGTTTGAGAAGAAACTCTTGAGAAAGATTGACCTCTGGCTCGTGGGTTTCTACTCTCTCGTTTACGTCTTCCGCGTCATCGACAGCGCAAACTACTCCAATGCAGCTATCATCAACCTCGAGGCTGGCACCGGCATCAAGAAGCAACTCGGCCTCAACCCATCACAATGGGCGTGGACGCTTTCAATCTTCTCATACAGCTATCTCATCTTTGAGCCCACCAACACGATCTTATTGAAGCTGTTCAGGCCTTCGAGATGGATGTTCATACTGATAATGGCATGGGGCGTTTCTGCGTGCTGCTCCGCCGCGGCGATAAACTTTTCAGGCATGATGTGTGTTCGTTTCGCGATCGGCATGGCTGAGGCAGGTTTTTTTCCGTCAGTGTTGTATCACTATGCGTTCTGGTACAAGCCGGAAGAGATGCCGCAGCGCATCGCCTTCTTTTACTCCGTGGGACAGGTTTCCAGTGCACTGTCTGGATTGCTGGCCTATGCCATCTCGTATATGGACCAGCTTGGTAACGTGTCCGGGTGGCGGTGGCTGTTTATCCTCGAAGGGCTCCCGGCTATCTTCCTTGCGTTCTTTGCGTTTTGGTTACCTGACTATCCGGAGTCAGCCAAGATGTTGAGCGAAGAGGAGCGACTGTACATGAAGCAGAGACTTGCTAGCTCGGTGCCAAAGGGAGAAGCGAGTTGGGACTTCAAGTCTTTGAAAGTCATGGCCCGAGACCCGACTCTTTACACATTCAGTTTGTACTGGATCTGCCATGGTATCGGGGGGTTCGGGGTCGGATTTGCGTTGCCGACTGTCATTTACCAGCTAGGCTTCACGACTACGGCGTACTCTCAGTTGATGAATATTGTAAGCACGCACTTGATCTAAGCTCTGTGGAAGAACTTTGGCTGATATCTCATAGCCTCCGTATGTTTCGGCCTTCTTGCTTCTGAACATCTTGGGCTTCATGCTTCAGAGGAAGTGGATCAGGCCATGGGTGACAGCCGTAGGAAGTAAGTTATCCGAGCAGATACCCAGACTTATCGCATAGCTAACGGGCGCAGTCGAGTCAACAATTATCGTATGCTACATCATCCTTCTGTTTGTCGATAATCCGGTGGTCCGCTATATCTGCCTGATCGTTTCTGTGGCCTGTGCTGGATGTGCGTATCCGGTAATATGGCCGGAGCGGATCAGAGCACTCGAAGGAACCGTAGCATCTGGAATCGGCATTGGTCTGACTAACGCGTGTGCTCAATTTGGGTACGTCTAAACGTATTCCTCATCGAACGGATTTTGGCTGACCTTAGGGCACAGCGGCATCGTCGGCCCACACGTCTTCAGCACTGTGTTTGGGCCTAGATATCGAACCTCGTATGCGGTTAACTTGTCGGTACTCGTGGTTGGTATCTGCTCGATTCTGACAAGTTGGCTTCTCGTTGTCAGGAAAGATAGAAAGCGCCTGACACAAGATTGAGAAGTTCAAAGGTGTGAGCTTGATGATTCTGTCAGAAGCTGGCTGTTAGTCGGAGTCCGGCCCGTAGACTCAACCCGATACAAGAGGGATCGTTGACGTTGAGAGTGAGGAGGATCCCACAAAAGCAGTCGAAGGAGGCTCTTTTGAAGTCTTGGCAATGATGAAAAAGGACCCGGGGATACGGGCAAAAGGGAGGGGCGTTGGCCAGTTCACATGATATATGGGTTCAATCGCACCCATGAAAGATCGAAAACGGCTTAAAAGTTCCTTTGCTGAATAGCCAGTCAGGGGCAACTTGATCACAGATTGCAAAAGACATCATACCATCTCCAGGGATACTCGATTTGTGCGGCTTTCGAAATAAGTTCTCGACGCGGTGATGATGTGCCAAGTTGAGGATTCGGATTTGAGGACCCTGATGGCCAGGCCCGCCTCTTCGCGCCTGGGCAAACGCGGACCGAACAAGGATGCGGCATTACGAGCTTACAACGGGACCCTACCACTCTGTTGAATGAAGCTTGTGGTACGGAGCATGGCGAGGTGATCCTTGAACGGCCGATTGACGGTGGTGTAAACAGAACTGGGCAATTTGAGCATGTGCCAAGTTGAAAGGGAGGGATGAGCACGTTGAGATACTCCGTAGTCTCCGCGGATACCCTGACTTGGTAGTTTCTTGGCGAACGAACCTGGCCGAACAGAGTCGCAAACAGCAAAACGATCAGCCAACGCCTTGAAGGGATCAATAGATTTTCGCATGTATTTTCTCTTGCCAAGATACGCTAGGAGTCACCTACCTTGATGTTCTTCCGCGCCTGAGGTTCGGGCGATTCGTCTTGGCGGTGGACATTTGTAGCTTATTCACTTGAATGCAATACTATCTTTATAAATCTCATATGTTACCAGCCTTTTCACATTTTCCCCCCCATC